CCAGCAGACGATATTGGGGACGTATTTGAAGGTGCTCCGACGAAGAAGACCGTTCACGTGCTGGTGGTGGTTCCATTGTCTACGGCAGAGGATGTCGCGTTGAGCGCGAAGGACTTATGCACTGTGGATCCTGATGTTCAATTGAATTTGTGGAAGTCAGTTGTTAGAGTTTCCTCGGAACATGTGTGCTCAGGAACGGCGCTGGTTGTGGACCAAACCCCGATACACTTGTATCTTATGACGAACTTGCACTTGTGGACAGACGCTACATTCTCGAAGTACTTGATCGCCGACTTCAAGCGTGAAATCAGACGGTATAAGAGACTTCACCCCACAAGGAAAACAAGTGGAGGGAAACGAAAAAAAGCTGCGAAGAACGCTGATGTTGCAATACAGCAGCCTCGTAAATCTCAACGGATTGCAGCGATGAACAAAAACACACCAGTTTTGTCAGACAAGCCTCAAGTTGTGGTGGAACAACTCCTTCCTGATACGACGAAGCCGGAAGAAGTCCACCGATTCAGCCTCGACAGAGACGCGTGCTGGCGTAGTTCGGCAGCGTTCGACTTTGCAATCTTCGAAGTTGCTGTGCCACGAGATAACAAACTCGTTCCATGTAAGATGTCCCTTAAAGTGTATGACACAATGAGTGTGGACGTGTTCGGATTCCCTGGCGCACTTCAAGACCAACATTTTGATCACGATTACGCCATCATTCCAGCTAAAATCACCGGTTGGAGCGGAAACCAAATGACTCTCTTATCTTTGTCAGCTCCTGGTCTATCTGGAAGCGCGATTGTGTGCACCAAAAGGGGGGTACCAGTGGGATATATGGGTGGGCTGGATGACTCAGCGAAGAACGAACAGTACCAATCCTATGGCTTCACATTTCACGGAGTAATCCCCGAATTACCGTCTTCGTTGCCGCCTGATCCCGAAGGTGAAACAAAGGATGAGCTATAATATGTATAGCGCCGGTGGTAAGTGAATGCGAGTTGCTATGGTGATCGTGGATGAAAGAAATAAACTTCTTTTGCGTAAGACTTGTCTTCTTAATTAATGCTTACTCCTGATGATTATATAAGGAGAGATCACTTATTCACACGAACAATACCAACTCAACAAGGAGCTCATTAAAGCAGAGCAGAAGCGCTACTACAAGCCGCATGTGCGAAGCGGGGCTGTCCTCTACGACGATAGTAATAGAAAACACATACCGAATAGGATAGTAAAAACAAATGCTACGAATTCAGTTTTTTTTTTTTTTTATCTTTCAACCCAATAAAAAAGGTGATTTAGTTTTTTTTACAATTCGTCTATAGCAGCGCATAGCTTAGGTGCCTTTTCAGTTGCGAACTTAGATGATCGTAGCCATTGAATGTATGGGACGTCGATAGCATATACCTTCTTCACCGACTTCCCTTTGTAGCGTCCAAAGTTTAGGATGTAAGAGCCATCATCATTTATAGTTCCAAACTTAGCAACAAGAAATTTAGCAATGTCAGAGTCAGGACCTCCAACCAGCATCCCCTGAGAGCGTAGCCATCAACAGTATGATGGGTCCCTCTCGAAGACATCTTCAATAGTTGAGGCTTTGTCCTTACCGAAAGAAATGGACATGGTATCTATATAGTATAGGTATATATCTATTCTCTTAATTTAAATAATTAAGCCGTAGTGAAATCACGAATCTCACCCGTTAGACGGTCGTAGGTTAGTTCTTGCTCGCTAATAACCAATACCAACATATTGACACCCTGGCAGCCAGCATTGACACCCTAAATCTGAATAGCCTGGGGTACGTCCTTCTCCGTTAGACGACTGACGTCGGCAATTAGCATACGGTTAGTTAGCGACCACGTCTGATAGTCGAGAAGACCATTTACGAGCTCAGGGGTAAGATCACCGTTGATAACACCAAGCTTATTTACTTCATCAGAGAACTGACGGAAATCGTAGTCATGGCTAATGTCAAAGCACTGTTGCGAACCGATGCGAACATTGAAGTTGCGAATCGACGAACCGGGCTGAAGCGTCCAAGGCGCCGTATCAAAAGGGCTCTGGAACTGTTGAACCGCAGCAGACGCAAAGCTACCAGTCTGTTCAGCAAAAGGTAGCAGAACAACGTACTTCGTGTTCTTTACCGAAGCAGACAGCTGAAGATCGAAGGAAGCATTGAATTGCGTGTTTTGCTTACCAGTACCAGCACGCTGGTAAAACCACTGAGCATAACAATCGTTGTAGCGAACCTTCTTAACAGGCTTCGAGATAATAGTCTGAGGGTTCTCAAGTTGAGCAAAGGGGACATACAAGCGAGCAGTAGTGAATGGCATGTAAGTACCATCAATAGTAGGCTCAAGCGAATTGACAACGGCACCCCAAGCAATCGAGAAACTGGCAGAATTAGCAAGAACACTCGCCATGCGGTTGTTCGTGGTAGCAGATGCAACCATAACCGGACATACATTACCAGACGAGAGAGTAGTCGAAGTCAGCGACATGTTGCGCGACCCATCAACAGCAATAGCAGCCGTGCCCTGATTGACGCGGAAACGAAGACGAATCTGGGGGGGGGGGGGGGGGGGGGGGTTAGCCATCAGATCAATCTCGTTGATAACGAAGGATTTTATTTGGACCATATTCAGATCATCACAAAAACGGTCAGCCGATCAATTTGCACCTGCCCAAGTGATTTGATCAAAACCCCACCTTAAGTACGTGAACGAGTGGTTGACCAACTCCGTCATTTCCGTTTCCTCAAGATCGAAGCCAGCCTCTGCTACTCCCGTAACCATGACAAAGCGAGTTAATGCGTCCTCAGCGACAACTCTGGTGCTATCTCCTGCTTCGCCACCAAGCCAAGAGTTCAATACCTGCCCCCAAAGAGCCCAGTAACCATGGCACAATCCCGTTTACACGCGCACTCCCCCTCCACCATGTTCGTCTTCTCGAACTCACCGCCAAGGTCATCGGCGCTCGTCCAGTCGTGGTTGCCGTTCAGGCCGTCGTCACTCCTCCCGATATGACTGCAGCCCGAGTCGTCGGCGTTCGCCCATTCGTGGTCGCAGCCTAAGCCGTCGGCGCTCACTCAGCCGTAGCTGCACTGCAGCCCGAGTCGTCGGCGTTCGTCCAGTCGGCGCTACTCCAACCGTAGCCGTAGCCCGAGTTGTTGGAGCTCCTCCAGTCGTGGTCGCCGCCCAACTCGTCGGCGTTTCACCAGCCGTAGCCGCAGCCCGAGCCGTCGGTGCTCTTCCGGTCGTATTGACAGTCTAAGCCATCGCCGCCCCTCGAAGCATACGCTTAGTAAAACGTTTCGTGGAAGCCTAGATGGCACGGCTCCCGTCTCCAAGGGAGATCAGGGCGATCAGCCTCATGCAACTGCGTCACAAACTACAAGTCGATGTACACAGGCGGAGGCTGATCAGGGGGAGCAAGTACGTTTACCAGTGGAAAGTGTCGAGCGTACTTTACGTACTGTCGTGCATGCTGCTGGGCATGCATTTACGGGCTATAATGTGTCGGACGTTAGACTTTCGTACAGGTGCAGCTCGTACCGAAGTACGAAGTGCAAAGCGAAGATACATTACATTATCAAGAGCAATGAGTACGAACTATGTGGTGAGCATTCCTGTACACAGAAACGTAAGATGACAGCTCCTGGACTGGCTGTAACTGAAGACCTGCAAGAGGCCACTGATGTGATGGCGCTCACTCGAATGGACCTGACAGCGGAGCGAATCTGGAAGCATATACGTCAGAACTTCTATCCCGACGAGCTTACATTGGTGCAGTTCGGACTTACACGCGAACAAGTCATCCAGCGCGTTCACCGGACACGCCGTTCTCATTTTGGCGCAGATTTGCATGGAATCGTCGAGGTTCCGCCGCTGTCACTAGTTTCGGGCACCAACCAGCCATTTTATCAATTCTATAGGTCCTACGGGATCAACGCTCGAGCGTCTAATTGGTTGGGCCCATCCTGCCCTTATGAAGCTTTTGAAGTACAAGCACACTACGTTGTTCCTCGATAGAACATTTCGATGTGTCCCTCGCCCGTTTATCAGTGTGTGGTAATGATGGTGTACGACAATGCTACGGACCTATTCGTTCCTGTGTTTTACACCCTTTGTACATCCAAAAGGCAAGACACCTATTGGCATTTGATGGAAGCTGTCAATGTCGCTGCTGACGACAAGATTGAGCCCAGCATGGTCGTCTGTGATTTTGAGACTGGTTTACAAGCTGCTGCGCTAGTTCAGTTTCCGGAAGCAGATATTGTGGGTTGTTACTTCCATTTCAAGCAGGCTTGTAGAAGAAAGATGAAGGCCCTGGGTTTACCTGAACGTGAGGCAAAGATTGCGATGGAAAAGGGCTGCCTGGATATGCTTACCGTCATCCCCCATGAGAAGATTGAAGACGAAGGCATAAAGTACGTGGAAGCCAAGATCAAAGGAATGTGTGAGAGCAAAACTGTTTCGTATTCAGAGGTGGTGTGGAGGCTCTTCTGGTCGTACTTTCGCAACACGTGGCTGAAGACGTTTAAACCCAGTGTCTGGAACGTATAGGGGCTCGACACCGGTATGGTAAGTCGCACGAATAATCCCTTAGAGCGATTCAACCGGGAGATTAACGCGGAGTTGACGTCCCCACACCCTTCCTTGCCGTCATTTGTCGGCATCATTCAAACTTTATCAAAGCGCTATGTCGATCGGATTGATGATATGACTAAGTCTCGAGCGAAGAATCGGAGACGCCGCACACGTGAACCATTAAATCTGCCTGTGCCAGTGGAACTCCAAGAAAGTACAGATGCAGAGACATTGGAACTGTAGGTCATTCAGAGTAAGTTAAACAGTACAAGTTTCTTTCAGACTGGTCAACGATTTGGATCAACTTGATCAGTTGACCGTTTATGTGATGATCCGAATATGGTCCAAATAAAAGTCAACCATATGGAAGCCAATCAATATATGGTCGATTACTCAGCGTTGGGAGCTCTTAATGCCGCTGCAATCAAACTGTTAATCAAAGAAATTAAGGAGTTGAAAGAAAAAATCGCTGATCTACTATAGATCAATATGGGATGCAAACCATGCAAACAACTGAGACCTAATCTCACCCCAAGTGATCCAAACCAAACCGTAGGTAGTGTTATCATGAACGCCAACCAGATTGTAGCTCTTGGTGATACGGCATACCTACTGATCCAAGACCCTAAAACTGGTGAATCAGCAATATTACAGATATCAGTCAATGATAAAAAAATAGAGATCTACAGAGGCTTCAAAAACAGAATGGTTAGAGATGGAATAAGCTTATAGATCTGCGATCTTAGAGAGCGAAACTTTTTACTGACTTAGTTTTTTTTTCGTTGTTTGTAAGCCCATGTAGAGCCTCCTTCTGTCTGAGTAGAAGCATCTACCTTCTTGATTGATTTGTCCAAATCAGTAACCCATACAGCGGCTTGTGTTTGCTGTGGTCGATCACGAATGATAAGATTTTTTATGATTGCTTTGAGTTCAGCAACATTGAGGTCGGCGTTATCGCCATAGCTACCTCCTGAAGTTGCAATAATGCGGGGGTTGAAGAAGAACATAACCTTCGGTTTCTACTATATGAGACGAACGATAATATCCTTAAATTCAGAATCAGAAATTAGGCGATTAGAGTACATGCCCACTGATAGGCTCTTCAGTTGCTTAATAATCGATGGATTATCATTACCAAGCTCAAGTTCACCTTTCAGCTTATCATACTCAGCTCTAAGAGTATCTAACGGATCCTGAAGACGATCATGAAAGTTGTATTGAAGATGAGTGATAGCAAGAATCTCCTTAAATAGCTTTTTGTCATCGATATTAAGCTTATCATACGCTCCCTGATCGATTTGTTGCTTAAAAGCAAGAGTACGAATCACTGCTTGTAGCTGATCGCTAATTCCACGCTATGGCCCACACTTTCGGCGGTTTGGTTGAACAATCACAAGAGTCTTAGCATCAAGATCAGGGATTCGAATGTAATTACTTCCAAGCTGTTTGTATGTGTATGCACTCGGTGTTGCTAAACCCTGAATCTCATTGAGGTTGTATGTACGACCACGACGGATCACTCCATCCAATGGTGCTACGCCAGCTCCTCTAAGACCACACCCCTTGAGTTTCCCTCGCCCATTAAGCTCTACGTCAGTCGACACTTCCTTGTATTTGTGCTCACGTTGCTGAAGAATGCAAGAGAATAGAGTCAATGCATTGTCAATTCGCTTTTTATTATCTTCCGAAACTGACTGTAGTGATCTTGTTTCTCAAGGTCTTCCATCGAATCTGAGAGCTTCTCCAACGTTTTAATCCAATCGATCTTCTTGAAGAAGTCTTTACTGTTCTTGGGCAACGAGATATCTCCAAGCTGAGTCATCATTCGCAGCTCATCAATACCCTTTTTATCGCTCTTAAACCAATAGAAGAATCTACCGTTCTTATCCTTTGTACCATCTAATTTTACAGGGATGAGATGGATAGGGAATACATTACCTTCACGATGGGCTGCATGGAAATAATCGATTATAATCATTGTTTGCACTTGATTCAGCCATAGACACTGAAGGTAGGTGGATGATCACCCGTTGATTTTCCTTTTAGCCGAAAGCGCGTTGGATCCGCGGTGAGACTATTGGTCTCTTCCGGTTTGAATTCAATTGCAATCCCCTTTGTTTCAATGACATCCATGAGATGTTCAAGGGTTAATAACCACGACATATCCCGTAGTTTAGCTGGAAGAGACTTTCCTGTATGATTTTTGATGTTTAGAAGTCCTTTCATATCGATAAATACTTCGGCATCCTTTAACTCAGTTCCGGCTCTTAGAACAGGAATAACCGTAATTTTCTACAGCCTGCGTCAATGATGTCATGGGGAAATAATCAACTACATTATTTTGTGAGCTGATAACGCGAGTGCGTGAGCTCGCGTTTCCCCATTTGGATCAGTGTGGACAAAGTTGGAGTTGGGTTTGGATTTGAACGATGACATTCGCCGAGCAAGCTGTAATGATGCAGCGTCGCGTTGACGTATGTAGATCTGGTAAGCGTCCGACGACCACCGCCCATGCATTCGTATTGTATCTGCGTCGACACCAGCTGCATGCAGAGCCGTAGCGCCTCCTACTCGTTGAAAGTGTGTTGAGATATTGCTGGGATTCACGTCGCACGCCTTCGCTGCCGATCGCAGGACGTTAGACATGGGTTCTGCTGACAGCACTCGCCCTGGGCTGCTTGAGCATATGGGTTCATCGCCAGACATGTTGATTGCGCTCGCATTTCGAAGTAGTAGAAGGGCCGCAAACACTGGACATACTGGTGGATGTTCGCTCTTATCGAGGGTTCTTGTGGTGGTGCGTCCGTTTTGATCGGTCTTCCTACCGCGCAAAGTTATTGATACAGCACTTGCGCTTGCATATTCAGATGTGCTGTTGCTGTTTGCGTCTTTCACCGATACATCCGATACTTGAAGGCAATATCGATGCCGTTTGGAGCTGACGCTCAGGTACTCTGCACCTCGGAGACAAAAGAAGAAGCCCAGCACCGCAGCCCACAAATGACGCGGTGCTGGGCGCTGGAGAGGTAGCCCGAAGATGTGTTTGAGCATTTCTTGCGATACTGGGCTTCGTTCTTGTCGTGGAGGACTGAGCCTGCGCATTCCTTGAAGCACGAGTTCGTGTTGTGGGAGCAGTCTGGGGATGAATCCGACTCCGAGTTGATGACACCATCCGATATGGCGGATTTTAGCCCGAATTGTTTCAAACCGGCGAGGTGTCGAGTCCGCATTTGTTTGCCTCGTATGCGTCATGCGAGTTGAGTCATGGCGACTTTCCTGCTCGAGCGCAGAAGGCACACCAGTGGCGCCATGTCCCCAGGTATACATTTCGTGATGTGTCTGCCAGAGATCGCCACTGGTGTTCGCTAATCCGCCTGTGTAGATTTTCCTGAACTTGCACGGGATTTTCTGTTTATTCCAGCATAACATTAAGTTAGTCCACTTAATGTGCCATTCCAAGCCCGGGAACAAAGATCCGCTAAATAGTTGGTAGCCCCTGGAAGATGTTGGGACGACACGTGAATCTTGTACTGAATTTCTACGCATGACAGGACACGCATCAATTCTTGACCCAAAGTATTGTTGCTGAAGTGGCGGTCGATCCACGCTACGGCGGAGGAGTTATCAATCCAGCAGCGAATGTGCAATGGTTGCTCCTGCTCGTCTGCAATGTGACTCCAATCCGGGCCCCACGTTATTGCCGCAAAAACGGCGCTCAGTGCTTCCCGTACGTTGATGCTGAATGAGGAGCCTTGGGGTTCAGGAGCTTTTGCTATCGCGGATCGTTCGACTTTGTCGAATTGGACACGAATGTATTCTTTCGCTGCTGGGAAGAGTACGCATAGCCCCGAATCGCTGGCGTCCATGAAAAGATTAATGGATGGCTCGGAAGTGCCTGCCAGGATATTCGTCAGTATAGAATTCATGGCTCCATGTTGGAAAAGAGATAAGATCCAAGTCAAATCATCACGAACAGAATCCCAAAGCAGTATCTTCGCAAATTTTGATGCTTGCTTCCACGCAGTATGTAGCTGATGGATGAATGCACGAGTTGCTCTACAGCATAGTTCAACATGGCGAAGCGACCCAAGGAGCTTCTCTAGTTTCTTTTTCTGAATGAATTTGGCGTTGAAAGCCTCGGAAATTCTTGCGACTGCCTTGGTGATCTTTGTAATGGGCATCGAGACGGTCTTCCTGTCCGTGTTCCATACGAGTCCCAGTGCGCAAAGTTTGGTAGACCACGGCGAGAATGTTTTTGTCATTGATCGCGTATGGACCGAGCGTGGCCATCATACTCAATTTGAGAGCGGTTTCTGCTAGCATCAGTCGGTTGGCGTCATCGATTTCCACTAGAAGATGATCATCTACCCAAACATACGAAAAGAATGGGTCTGTATCCGGGTCGGTTGGATCCATTAAATTTGGGCTCTCTCTCGATACCATGAAGGAAATTGCACCACCAAATTCCCCGTAATGCGCCGACGATCCTGTCCAGCCGAAAGGTAGCGACAAAACTACTACGGCGGTATCGGCATTGCAGGAACCCGCGAAGTGGGCTGCCAAACTCGCAGCGACTGGGACGTTTCGGAATGCCCACTTCACGTCACCTTTGAGAATTTTTATGCGTTCTCCTGGATAGCGAGTTGCAAGGTCTTCGATGCGTTGGGCAATATGACTAACTGGCGCAAAGTGAAGCGAGGGTAACTCTTCTTGTGTCGAGCGCGCGTTAACCGAGCTGTCGTCGGGCCAAGAGAGGTCGTGAATTAAGTGAGTCTCGATTTGGGGGTTGACCCGTGGCTTTGGTACACATCCAAATGGGCTAAATCGAAGTTCAGACCAGGCTAAGGCAACGTCCATCGTAACCATCATGTATGTCCCGTCCACTTGTCCTTCGCGAATGCTCCTGATAAAGACTGTTGTGTATTGGGAAGAACTTTTGTGGTTGCTGACCGGCATACTGTCGGCTTCCTGCGGGGACGTAAACGCATGGGTTACCCCGTGTGTAGCCGTCTTCACCACACTTAGCCGATAGCGGTAACCATGGAGAAGGATGTCGAGCCACCTCGGATCGAGTGCCTTGTATGGACGCGAATCCGACTCAGATTCGTTGCGCCATAGAGCTACGGCTTCTTGCAGTGACAGCTTCAGCGTTTTTACTACCTGAGAAAAGCCGACTACAATATCGTGCTCCTCGAAAAGCTTTGCCGCATCATCTGGACTAACAGTAGATAGCAATGCTGGAATCGAAACGCGGGCCTTTCGAAAGGCTGAAACGAGTCTGCCGATACGGGCAGCTGCAAGAGATTCGCAGTCGGGTCTTCAGGTTGTTGTGTACATCGATAACGGTTAAAATGTGATTGATGGTCCTCGGGACTGCGACGCGGGAGCTGACGGCGAGATACTGGGGAGAGGATACGGGATAGCCTTTTTTGAAGCGATTGTATAGAGCGTATTCAAGTTGCGGTGACGTTCGGATTTGACAGGCGGATGGGAGAATTTCGGGTACGACGGGCTCTGCGGCGGTAGTGCGGTTCATTCGCACAACTCGGATCGAAGCCCACCCATATTTTTCGTGATATGCTCACGTATAATTGGATCCAGCGTATCGGGAATGAAGTGTGCGTGGTTCGGGAAAAACGCACCGGTCGTCGGATTTGGAAGCGCAGCCACTTGCCGATAAGTTCTTCATGCGCACGCGTTGTCGACCTTTGCGTGGCAAGACATCGATGACCTCGCGAAGTGTTTTTCTTTTCGCACGAGTCGTATCGGAACGGCGAAACGGATCGCTTGTCCTTGCGGAATTGTATGGCGGCCGCCGTAGAGCACTTGCCGCAGTCCCCAAGGCATCAAGACGCTCAGATTGGATGATATATAGCACACTTTGCAGATCTGGGTCTTGTAGAGACCGCTTGGACGTTATCGTGGAGCGGGTCGAGCTTCCAAGCCGAGCGTCCTGCTCTGAAGCTGAGCGGTATTCTTCCATGACACTATCAAACCAGAATGTGAGCGTGGCAATATCTTGAGCACTCCAGTGACAGAAGGAACGTAATTCTTCAATGAATTCTCGTGCACAGCTAAGCAGTCGGCACTTCGCATGATCGAAGAATTCTTCGGCAAACACGTGAAGTACCCTGAGGGCATTGGAGACATCATCCAATGATTGGGGTTTCGATACCGTCGGAAGCTAGACTGATGCTGCAAAGTTGTTCAAGTTGACGGACGCGTTTGCATACCAGGCTCGGCGAGCTGCGAAATCAAATCGGACGAAATGCATAACAGATAGACCGCGTCTGCCAAACTCGAAGTCATACACCCTTGCGATAATTGCGGGATGAGGCTTGAACTTGGTTGCCCGGGAAGAATTCATGGCTTCAGCCAGGGCAGATGGAGACTTACCTGCGTGATCTGGGGATACCAAGAGACGGTTAATTGCTTGTTGAGGCCTGGACGGGTTGAAGGCGTGCTTTGCAGGTCGTTCAGGCGTAGAGGACAGGTCAAGTAAGTCCGATGGACTTGTCAACCGACGGCGTTGTGAGTCGCGGTCTTCAGCTGGAGGCGCAGGTCGTTTTCCCGTTGTAGACTTGCACATAGTCAGATAAAAACGAACGAGTTTCGGATCATCGGCGATTGCTGCTAGAACTTAAAGTGGGAAGCTGGTTCAGCTTCCTGATTGATCGTCTCTTGCTGGGCGTTTGGAACCGACTCGTCAATAGCGATCGATCGTGGCCCAGGTGCAGCTGGTCGGCTACTATTACTGGACTGGATAGCTTGTAGGATGGCATCGAGGTCGTCGTTTTCCGCCGAATCATCAACATCATCTCGCGTCATAGGGAGGGGCGCCTGGGTTGGGTCGTTGTCTAGGCTTGTTCCAATGTTGTTTTGTTGACTGCTTGGGATCCGGCGACCTCCGTCAAAGTAGTAGACATGATCGACGGCGTGACGCCCTGAAACCAGACTTTCCTTCCCAGACGTGCTGTTAATCCATCGAGATGCTGCCGTGGCTTCCGGTTGCTGCCGGGCTGGAACTATTCATACCCTGAAATCATCATTTGAACAGCAGCCTTTGCCCTCTTCTCATCCGTCATAGTATCTGTCGAACTGTCATGCTCCCAAATAGCTACAGCTGGAAGTTTTGTTTCACTATGGATTTGACTTTCAGCGACACGCGTCTTCGGAAAGTTGGAATAACGATAATCCTTATCTTCTCCCCGCATTGCATCTACCTCATCGATCGCGTTCAACTCACCACTGTAAAGGATTTCCTCGACTTCTCTCTTTGTAGCTAGCCAATCGGTAAACTTCGACTTTGAACGTTTGTTAGTACCATATTTATAAAGCTTAGCGTTTTTACCAAGGTATCGGTTAGTATCAATCGATCCATTAATTTTTATCGGGTGAATTTTAAGTGCAATCCAATTAGGATTTTCCTTATAGAGTGTTTTGATCCACTCGTGAGCCTCTTCACTCTGGTGTGGTTCCTCTTCACTCTTGACGTCTGAGCCTTGCTCATTACCTTTTGACAAAAAGACTTTTAGATAAGCATACGTGTCAAGCCAATCGATACGTGAAACTATTATCTTTCTACCGCTTTTAACGCTATAGATTTGTGCATTGCGTCCAATGAATACTTTGTCAATGATTTACCATCACTATCAATCGGATGCAATCGCTTTTCCACCAATTCAGGGTATTTTCAGGAAATTGCATTACCTCTTCCTTAGCAATTTGTTGAGTATCACCGGTAGTATCACTAAATAGTTCTTCATCTGGGGATGTAGAAGTAAAACTATCGAACATTACAGGATGCTCAGCATCAGTACCGATTTCAGTTGTTCTAGGACTCGCTTGAACGTTTTTGTCACTCGTGTCTAAACTTGTTTGCGAACCTACGTCGGATATTTGACTTCCCGCTTGAGTACCAATTTCTGTAGGTGAGTGCTCAGGGATTTTCTGAGAGTTTTCAGAGATTTGACTTTGTTTTGAGTCGTCGTCGAGCGAGACTCGGGCGTAGGCAGAGTTGTGCGACCCTACCGTGGTATCAGTCTGAGCACTTGCATCTGAAGAAGATTTGCTTGTTAGAGATAAACCTTTGGTAGCATCACTCGCCCACGAAGCATCCTCATACATCTGTTGCTTAGCTTCAGCCTGTCGAAGACGACGTTGAACTCGTTCAAGATAATCCTGACGTTTTTGCTCTCGGTAATCAAGACTCGTGAAATTAGGAAACATTTTGCGAATCGTATATTTTTAATTGAAGACAAAAAGATAAGATTTTCACCAAAGGCTTGGCATTACGGAATCATGCCTGAAATAGTTGTAGCTATGACAGATATGATTTCGCTCGTTTGGTAAGTTTATATAACGATCCTTAACACGATGAAATGGAACACCGAAGATTTTCTCTAAATCCTTCTTGTACATTTTATTTACTACAGTTGATCGAAAGTTTGAGCATGCATCTAATATGCTAAGTTCATCCTTGATTCTACTAACTTCCTGGATGATCCAAATCTTACGCCGGAGGCGGTCAAGCTCTAATTTATTCTCTTCACAGTTGGGGCACATGGTTATGACTTTGTATCTATGTACATATGCATATATTTCACAATAAAAATAATAATCTGTTTGATATAATTGAAACAACTCCATGACTCAAAGCTAAGAGGATTTCTCAACTTAATTTTATCAAGAGCTATAACGTAGTCGGAATAGGTTTTATTTTTGTATCCCAGTACTCATTCTCGAGGGTCGAACGCCTATTTTTGTTGATAAGTCTGAGATTATCTTGTGGCTTCCATGAGTCAGGTTCAGCACCAGTCCATTCGACAAGGTACGTGTATTTACCATTCTTCATCTTCTTATGATTTAGGATTCGTACGGCCTCAAGGATATCTACAGGATTGATTTTAGCCGCGGTAGTAACGAGCTTCAATTCGTTTGCTGGTTTGTAAAGCGTATGACCGTTTTTGGACTTAATTTCGATAGGATATCCGTCTACCCCAACAATTGAATGCACAGATTTACTCCATCGAGCCGCTTCCTTATCGAACTGACCTTTCTTTAAACGATACAATACACTAGAACCTATTTCGAGTTCATTTGCTACTTGCTCAACTACATCCTGATTGTAGCTGAGTTCTGACTCCATTACTTTTCCTCTAGCTTCTTTGGGTGTCATACCGATCGAGCGATGAAACGTGTTATTGTAGTTATCGATAAGATCTGATATTAGTTTATGAGTTAATCGCTTTGGCATCATCTTCGTGAGTCGTTGCTTGATTTTTCGATTAAAACGTTCAATCTTACCCGTTGTCGCGTGATCGTCTTGTTCGTTATTGAAATGTTCAATTTGTTTTGATTTGAACCACGTTTTATTGAACTCTTTACCGTTATCCGTTATTAAGATATCCGTCGTGTTGAGCCTGACAAAAATCTTAATCGCAGCTAACACAGTCGAACCCTGTTTGTTCGTAAGTAGCATTGCATATCCAATTCGTGAGTTGATGTTGATGGCCGTCAGTAGTGGACGTTTCTCAAGGAATGCAAGATCCATCTGTCACGAGGGTGGACTCCGAGATGTAATTTTAAACCATCGAAATGCTTCTTTCGCTCCTGAAATCGTTGATATATCAGTCTGCTTGTCATACCAATTCTTAACAACTTTCATGGTGATCTTCGGATTAAGCTCCTTAGCCTTTTGGTAAAGAGCCTGAGCACCGACATAGCCAGTTTTAGGGTTATAGTACAGTTGATGCAGTAGCTCATCCATCTTATCGAACCAGTTCTTTAAGCTCTGGTCTATATTTATACAATTAGATTTCGAGTTGAAGAGTTCTAATACCGTCTTCGAGTACACGACGCTTATCGTAGCAGTAGTTCAGAGCTGTCTTCTGCTGGGTGTATGTAATGATTGACTTGGTATTCTTACATAGTCGAAATCCCTTGTTGGTACCTTGAAGTGTGGTACGATCGCGGACTACAGTCTCAAATCCCTTTAGATTTAGCACATCCTTGTTGCGACCTCCACCCTGTTCAACACCCTTAGCACTAACCTTGACCTTGTGCCTCTCATCAGGTAGATAACAGATGTAGTTCTTACTCGATAGACTTACCATAGCATCACCACGCCATTCCTCCTTGAATAGACCTGGAGTGCGGCGATCAAAAGCAGCTACCTTCTTGTTATAGTCGCGAGGAAACCATTCGTACTTGTGTTGCTCAAAATGATCTCTTAACTCATGCTTAATGTATTCTTCAAACGGCTTTTCACAGCTGAAGGCCATGTAGGCGAAATCAGTATCCAAGTCAGATCGATCAAAGTAGAAATCAATACAATCATAGTAGAACTGAAGCATACGTAGCTTCGCGAGCTGGTAATTAGCAATCGAAAGGTGAAAGATTCTTGTTTTTGATACAAGGCTTTTTCATAGTGAGATCGCACGCACCGTTTAATTCTTCTAAGCCATGAAAGGTGAAGTGCTCAATTTTCTGTTCAATTTTATCATCATTTTACTCGAACTTGATTTCTTTGTGTCTAGTCATGTCCATACCCGATCGACCAAAAGCTGAATTACCTACCAGCTTCATCATCTCAGCAATCATTGCTTTTGACTCATCTACATCTCCAGCTCGACGAGCATCAGACACTTCATTCATGAATGCCGCAAATGCCTTGTGAGCGGAAGCTCTGACGAAGGAGTATGTCTACGTAATTTCCATACCATGGGTAATGTACCATTTGAGGAGAGGAACATAGATCAGAATGTTCTCTCCAAAGTAGCTACCGATTAGCTTGCGAGCGGGTTTAGCGCACTGCTTACCACGCGACTCATTGTATTGATACATGTGGCTACCAATAATGCTCTCATTTTCACAGTCAATAAGGATATTCTTAAAGATCGGTGTCATCTCGGAGAAGTAGTCCTTAAGGTGTTCGGGAGTACGAATATCACACTCGAGAACTCCAAATATCTTGTCATCCAACATATCTTGAACAATACCCTCGTATGCCTCTTTCTTGACCAAACGTCCACACGTCATGTCATTACCGAGAGCCCACAGATATAGAGTATTAGCATCAAAGCCAATAACCTTCTTACATACCTTACCATTATGGATCTTAGCCTAATCACGCTTGGCATAGCGATTGAAGATAATTGAAGGTCCACCAGCAATGTTTGCTTTCATAATGGAATATATTTCCTTCTGTTCCTTATCAACTGAGTAGACCAATCTGGCTGAGTTAAAGTGAAGCAGTTGAGAAATAATTAATATATGTTACTTGAGCGCTGAAAAAGAGTTTCAGCGTTCCCACGTACTGATTTCTTAGTACTCACCTGTTCCAACTGTTACTATTCAGTAATGATAAATTCGCTTACTCAAATGCTTCGTAAATGCGCACTTAAGGAGGATCATCAACATATGGAACAACTTCAACTTGCTTTTGGTGCGTGGTTGGCACTATTATACTTTCCAACTAAGCATCGTTCAGGGTAGGTGCGTTTGTATACCGAAACTATGTGTCGTGAGCACGAAAATGAGTATCAAAATGTTTAAGCTATCTATGATCCTGCTTTTTTTTAAGCATCATCAACTTGAACACCTTATCCAAACGCATATAATAGATCTTCATCTTAGCATCGTCCTCGAATCTCACCACATCAAGAAGTAAGGGGGGCTAATTCTGGCTTCGAAATCTTATCGACGCAAGCACATAGTTTGCAAAACTCCCAGCAATAAAAAGAAGTCCATAACACAATCGACAGTGTCGTCGTGAAGCGGGCAGGCTTTCCAGCATGTCCGACGAGGAATCGAAATGGGTTGCTCCACCTAGTGTCACCGAGGAATCAAGCGATTCAGAGTTCAGTTATGACTCGTCGTTACCTTCAGAGGGTGCCCAAGCTGCACTCTCTCAGCCTCGGCCATCACCGTTTACTCGTGTTGCATCGTACGATGCGTACGCTGCGGCAAAGGAGGCATTGGATGATCATAACGGGTTCGTGTATACTTTCGAATCGCGCTACGAGACTACAACGTTGTTAGTGCGGGTTTTCCTTTGCCGGTCTCACCAGATGTGTGGACATCGACTCAAGATCGGAGCGGTCGACATCGGAAATTCTGTCATCCAATTTCATCTGGAGGAAGGGGGTAGACACACCCTTGTTGTTAGACGAGCAAGACGACGAGGTATTCACATCTCACTACGCGAAGATGTCGACAGTCTACTAAAAATGGGATGGGGGGCTCCAAGACTGCGGACACTACTTCAGCATCGCTACATCGACCACCCGAGAATGTCGACAAACATTCCAACGGTGAGGCAGATCGAGAATCGTAGAGCGTATCTGGTACGATCATGCAATGCTACTTGGGAAATCACGAACCACGTCACGTTTAACGCATGGGCGTCAGACTGGATGTGCACAACCAGGGAAGACTTCATGTCAGTGACAGATGATGGGGATGCTGAAATGGACTCTAGAATTATACTCGACTCATTTGTCATTGGTGGTGGTTCTGAAGGTGATCCTACTTCGTTTGGAATCATTGTCTCTTCGCGGCGTGTGTTTCGGAATGTCTTGGCTTCTGTTCGGGGTCAGCCAGGGGAGCTCAGATGTGCTACAGATGGGACTTACAAACTTCACTTCGCTGGATGGGTGATAGTCGATTGTGGCTCGGAGCATGTGGCGTGGTCTCGAGGATCGTTTGCTCACAAGTTCGTACCATGGGCATACATGTTTGTTCGGTCGGAGTCGAAGGAAGCCTACACACGACTTTTTTGCGTCATTCGTGAGCGTGCGAGGACATTCTTTGACATCGACGTGGACGTGGCTTCGTTCGCCAGACAAGGCAAAAGAAAAGTTTGCTCGAGGACCCTGAGATGTACGAAAGTATGATCAAACCGCAAGTTCGTCTTCTTCGCTCGGCTCGCTCGCATTCTCAATTTGTGAAAATGAGTGAAAAATCGTGACAGATTACTGGATTGAAAATGGTGAAGCAGAGTATGCTCGCTGGTTTCGCCTCGTGTATCTCGTGCGGAGGTGGGAGAGATGGCATGTAAACGGATCCGGCATAGGTGGTCTTGTTCCGAGCCAACAAGGAATTGAATCTCACCATGCTGTGATAAAAAAAACTTGTGCTCCTTCAACTCGGGCGTCTACCTCAGGATTAGTCGACGGTATTCTTCCAAGGATATTGCGATATGAAGCTCGTCGAGCACCCGGAAGACCACGAGTTCGCCGATCAGCATTGCATACAGAAGAATCGGAAGATGGATACTTTTCGATTACAAGGCTTTTGCCGCTCTTCCTTAAGCGATCTGGCCAGCCTCTCGATTGAAAGATCGTTGATGATTTTACTGTGTCAGTGGATGGAGTAGAAGAAACCAGCAACTTTGTTGGGCAAGTTGTCGGAGTGCGGCTTTCTAGAGGAGTGTTTGTTTGGTCGGCCAGGTTTGACGACGGTTCCATCAGGGACTATGAGGCAGAACCGCTTGCTCAAGCAGTGGTGAAAGCTCACGGGCTCGGTGTGACCGGGTAATGAGGTTCGTTGCATGCAGAAAAGGTAAAAACCTTGAGCGAGTTAGTGTTAGATATCACATTTATATTGACAGTGTTGTTCTGCTCAAGAAGAAAAAGTGAGAGCAAAAACAAGAAAAAAACAATACAAAAAAGCTCTCCGAAACGTGAGGTCTGCCCCTTGTTCATTATAATAATCTCTGGATATCTAGTGAGAATTACTAAGTTACAGCTCGATCTCATTCGTAGTTTTAAAATGTATATAGGACAAACGAAACATAGAGTTGAAGTTTGGGCGTATCTTTTTTCAAATCTTCGTGGATGATTACTAAATCTTGTTAGATTCTGTGTTTTTTTTAATTCAAACCATTCATACAACACATGAGCCAAACTCAGTATTTTATTCAATATATAAGCAACCAATGCTCTAAATGCCATATCTTTTCACTGTGTGGTTGCAGAGTATAACGAGTCCAAAGTTATTAATCCGTTGTTGAAGTTATAATATAATAACCAATCATGTAGTCATGTTGACTGCATGTTACCATACCTAATCATTTCAAATTTTTAAAATTTTGGATTATGTTATGTTAACCTCCCGCTGTACGTCGCTTCTTTTTCTTGGCCGTTAATACAGCTTTTCTACGCTTTTTTCCTGCCTTATCTCTTGATTTCGATCCACCAGAACTGCGTGCATGTCGTGCCAGAATTGTACGAGTAGCAGGTCCATACCATGTACCGCCCTTGTGCAGCTCGGTTTTGCTCAACACGATGTCGAATTCTTTACATAGCCTGTCAGCCTCCTTTTCAACATTGTGCCTGGTCCCATCAATGCCATTGTACAGTGGAGAGATGTTGGACGCGAAATCATCGATGGATGTCGGCAGTATTGTGGTTTCGCCTACTAGAATCGCGCCGTTCGATAAAGTAATCACGCGATGATAAAAGCCAGGAGGCACATATACGGTATCACCTTTGTTTTGCTTACACGAGATAGTTGAATCATCTTCTAACCGGAGGAATCATTCCTTTTCTCCCTCCAAAAGACACCCGTAAGTTGCAGCGGCACATTCTTCAATATAGTACCCAGTTGTATGACCTTTGCCAAATTGAACTAGTCCCATGAAGAACTTCTGGCGTGGATCATCACACAATTTGTAGACGCCAATCCAATCTGACGGAATCGGCGTATTAGAGATGCAAAACGAGTCATTTCCACTTGAAAGATTCACCGTCAGAAACTCCGAATACGCTTGCTGTAGCTCCCGGAAGTTAGTTGAGAAGTGTTCTGGTACTTTTCTGTTTGCGTTAGGATTACTACGGACTAATTCGCACAAAGGAGCAGTGAGTTCAATTGAAGGGCTGCTGCGGACAATTGTAGAGAACAGCACGTCAGCCAAGCTTTTCGGGTGCACAGCACTCTCCACGACCTTCACTGTCATCTTTAACAATGCTGTAGTCCTTACTGAGTAACTAATTTTGTCATTTTATTGTCTATTACTATCTTTGTCTACTACCTTCTCGTTTCAGTTGCTTTCAGCGCTGAAGGCAACACTTCAGCATCTAAACCCGCTGAAACAAGTTTTCAGCGGTTTAATAATATGTTTTAATTAGCACCCGAAGCAGTTTCTGAAAGCGGAATGCCTTTAAGTTCATATCCTTACGAGCACTGTTGCATTTAGTGCACGAGATTAAAATGTTGCCGTCTTGGTGCCCCAGCTTGTTGTTGATACGATCAGCTGAAACAGCTTCGACGCTTAGTTGACAGTAGCATAGACCGCAGAGATATTTCTGCTTCTGAAGGAGTTCGTTCAGGTGTTTAATAGTCATTGCAAACTGTCGATCAGCTTTCTTATCTTGCTCAATGTACCCCAGATATCTGTGTTCTGGGAAGTTGAAAGATGCGGCTGGCTTTCTTGATGGTTTGGTGAGCTTACTGAAGCATGTCTGATACATTACCTTCTCAGACAGACCAGGAAAAGACACACCATCTGCGAACATATCCAGATCGAAACGCTTGAATAGCTCACGTTGAGCCTTGACAAATGGTTTGACATCAAGGTCGTTGTACCAAATTAGCAAATCCATGATAGATTTCATGTTGCAGTGCTCCCATACAAACTTTACGCGCTCATAGTCCTCATGCGAAATTTTGGTACCTGTGAGCTTACTGTCAAAAACTGATTGAGGTGGAATCTGAGTACGACTAAGTACGCTGAAATCGGTGATGTACTCGTAGCAGAAGATACCTTTACCCAGGCCACATACCCAGCGAATCTTGTCATCGCATTGACAGCCGCCGAAGTAAGTACTCAGATACTTAGAGTAGCTGGTACCAGCAGGTACGTAGTTGCTGATGTCAAGCATTTTCATGTCATTGGCTGCAATGCACATGTAGTTTGGGTTTTTGATAACTGACACAGTATTGTCCGTACCTAAGACGGAAAACAGATCATTCTTGATAAGGTTAATGTCGTATTTACCACTATTGAAGCCGAGAACAGGTACTTGCTTTAGCAATTGCATCAGCTTACCATAATCGGTCTTACGAGTACCCGATACCTGATCACAGAAGTCAAAGAAACTGGAGTATTTCCCCTCTTCGATCCACTGGTTGATGTCCTTTAGCTTGTAAGTTGTTCCGAGAGGAGCCCCAGGAATATCCATTCCAGTAAGACCATGAGCCTCGACGATCTTACGAATTAGCGTCTCGTACTTAACAATATTGTACTTAAAGACCTTTGCCACAATTGACTTGATGTACACAAACATCTTTGCGAGCAGCTCACGCGGTTGGTTATCAACAGAACATCGCTCCTCCTCGGTGATGCTATCACAAATTGATACTGATACAGGTATGTTTCGTTGTCAATAGTCGTTTTCTTCTGCTTGGCATTGATAATTGGCTTAAGAATAGCCTTGAAATCGTAAACAAGGAAGTGGTCAAGATAGTGGTCAAAACCCTTAATTGAGTACTTCGTCTGTAGCGACTTCGTCGTATTTTGATTGGGACGGTATATGGAAGGCTTGACTGGAAAGGATTTAACATTCACCTCCTCACATTGATTTTTCTTGTGGTTTCGTAGCTTCTCTGCGGAAGTGAAAACCACTCACACTTTGGGCATTGGTACTTGGACAAGAACATGTCGATATCTTTGATATAGAGTGCGTGCTTCTCGTGTGAAAGAATGTTGATCGTATCGTAGTTATTTTCCAACTGACGAATGCGCTCCGTCTTGCCACTTTCAATGTCGTGTGTGTAGACATTAATAGCAAGCTTGAAGTATTCCTCAAGATCATCGAACTGGAGGATGTCAAGTGGCTTGAACGATCGGTAGATCCCCAGTCAGTACTTGATACACTTGAAATCACAGTAGCGCTTAAAGACATCCTTTACTGAACTACTAATGCGACGTGGGTCCTTTTTTCATCAGTCTGAGTATGGTATGCAATGCAGTGAAATACACATTTGTTGTTTGTCTTGGGAAAGTTGATGAGAGATTTGATATCTTTGATCACCTTCGGGATAACTGCCTCACTACTACCGAGAGCATGGCCCGATGGTAAATGCAGATCTTAAATCCAACAATTGCCTTGCGTTGATAACCACTCTTAGTATATTTAAGACGATCAGCGAGCTCCATCGCACGAATCTCAGAAATGATCTTTTTACGAATATCTCCCTTGCTGTTGATAGCGACTGGCTTATCAAAAACAGACGCATTCGCAGTGTTTGGATAAAAATAGCTCTCATCAGTGTGGTCGCTCTTACTGATTAGAATGTAGCCAATTGCGATATTAACCTTCGAAGCCTTCTGCTGACAGTTGAGAACATTCTCGAGCTTGTCGTAAAATTCACCTGGCTGAATGTTTTCGTAAATGTGCGTCTCCATGTGGTTGCCACTGTAGAAGCGGTACTTAGGATCAGCCTTGTAGTCTGACGATAGATGAGTGCTTAACTTATCCTCACTGATACCATACTGCTTAGCTACAAGCTTACGGTCGCTTGGGCGAGATAGGTTGCTCACATATACAATTTTACCCGTTTTACCTCGCACCTTGACTCTGTAGCTGCTTCCCCATCGGATAGCCTCGATTTTGAGTCTTTTGAGTCCTTCGAGCTCCCATGCAAACATCGTTGCTATATATTCTTACGCTGATAATATTCTGTTGAAATCTGACTTTATATGTTTAGAGTCTTCGCTTAAGATAGACTGACTTTATAACTTAGTCCTCAAACTTTTCAATATATATTTTAAATTTTTCGAGGAGGAAGTCGAGGTGGGGACAGTCCTTCCACTTTTCTTTTGTTCTTATATACTCATAATTGTCTGAATCGTTATGTTTGATCCACTGAAATGTTTTTTCTTTGTAGTTACCTACTCCAACATTTACCATTGGTAGTAAATACGTTGCTATATCATATTTGGCCGAGACTGACAATGCATTACACTTGAAAAGATATTTTATGTATGATCTATCAATTTTTGCTACATCATCAGGTGTCTTACCTTTGTGCTTTCCAAACCAAAGCTTTTTCAAACTAAATGAGCTCTTACCACTTGCGCGACAGTTTTACAATTTCTAAATTTTCCTCGATAATGATCACCGCAGCTGATACATGTTTTGTAATGACCCTCAAACAATCTAATGCATTCACTACCTACGAAGTAATTCTGATCATTATTGTCTATAATTAAATAATTACGCCTGATTGGTGTACCACAGTAGCAAGTTGGAGATACGTTTGGAGTATATCCTGGACAAGATATATTTGAGTACCACCTTGCAAATGCCATTCTTTATCACGAACATCCCTATACCACATGCTCAAATGAAACACGCTGATGTCTCCACCAAGTGCCTCAATCAAGCTCTGAACTTTTGTGTTTTCACTATTACTCATGACTTTCTATATAACTCAGACTTAATAATCTCAAAAAAGTATATTTAATTATTCATTATTTAAGTTCGGTTCGATTTCATCAGGTTCGGTTTGGATCGTAACTGCTTTGGTTGGCGTCCGCTTGAGTGCTCGAATCTGATCTCTGTGTTTAGCATCGTATTCACGCTGCTTCGCAAGGCGAGTCTCTCGCGTCTTGAGATAGTAGCGACGCTGCGTCTCTTTGATGCGCTCCTTGTTTGCTGGATATTGCTCGGGTGAGTACGCCATAGAGGTAGTGTTTATTACATAACTTTATATCAGGATTGAAAATATATTAATTACTTTTGATTCATCGAAGTTTTCATTGGAACCCCGTACTTTTCATTGAAGCTGTCGTAGTTTTCATTGGAGCCGTCGTATTCTATTCAAGTTTCCTCCCATGTCGCTTCCCGATAATATCTTAGTGGTCGATTGGTCGAGTCAACTTGAGACGAATGAATACGTGTACAGTGTTTGCGCGTAACCCCGTTACAGGTATTAAAAAGAGTGATATGCAAACGATTACTCTGTTGCTATGTGTGGTTTGTATTGCGCGTAGTTTTCTACTGCGATCCCGATACTCACGGTGCGACGGACGTACAAAGAAAGACAGGCGACTACAATGCAGCTAGTGATGTAGTCTCCGTCACAGGGGATCTAATCTATGAATACAACCTTGTTAATATTATAACTAGCCTCCGGCTAAATGATTCAGCCAATGTTGGAGCAAATTCGTATGTAGAAGCAGGACCTGTTCCACAATTCATCCAAATGGGAACAACTGAAATGTTTTCCCACTGGATCCTGTCCACCTGCTGTTTTGGCAATTCAGCGGGAAGCAAACGCGGACCTAGTCTCAATTCGATATAGATACATTCTTGTTGTCTATGTATTGATTTCGTTATATACACCAACCTTTTGGATATTTATGTTACCCGTAAGTTGACACATCCGGAGAAGGTTACAAATAAATGCCTGTTAATATTATTCGCAACTTTTTGTATTACATTCGTACTTCATCCGGTATTCGGTGTACAGTACTCATCGCGATTGACAACCATCCATCAATCGCCATAGCGAAGTTGAGATCCACTCTCCAGATTTTTCTTCGCATTATTGGGACTGCAAAGCGGTTCACTGAGGCGTTCAGCCGGGTGTGGCGCGGAGCGTAAAACAAAACTGCTTCCAACATGCTTAAGCCGCAGTCTATGCGCTGCTATAGACGAATTGTAAAAAAAATAAATCACCTTTTTTTATTGGGTTGAAAATAAAAAAAAAACTGAATTCGTAGCATTTGTTTTTACTATAAAATTCGGTTTGTGTTTTCTATTACTATCGTCGTAGAGGACAGCCCCGCTTCGCACATGCGGCTTGTAGTAGCGCTTCTGCTCTGCTTTAATGAGCTCCTTGTTGAGTTGGTATTGTTCGTGTGAATAAGTGATCTCTCCTTATATAATCATCAGGAGTAAGCATTAATTAAGAAGACAAGTCTTACGCAAAAGAAGTTTATTTCTTTCATCCACGATCACCATAGCAACTCGCATTCACTTATCACCGGCGCTATACATATTATAGCTCATCCTTTGTTTCACCTTCGGGATCAGGCGGCAACGAAGACGGTAATTCGGGGATTACTCCGTGAAATGTGAAGCCATAGGATTGGTACTGTTCGTTCTTCGCTGAGTCATCCAGCCCACCCATATATCCCACTGGTACCCCCCTTTTGGTGCACACAATCGCGCTTCCAGATAGACCAGGAGCTGACAAAGATAAGAGAGTCATTTGGTTTCCGCTCCAACCGGTGATTTTAGCTGGAATGATGGCGTAATCGTGATCAAAATGTTGGTCTTGAAGTGCGCCAGGGAATCCGAACACGTCCACACTCATTGTGTCATACACTTTAAGGGACATCTTACATGGAACGAGTTTGTTATCTCGTGGCACAGCAACTTCGAAGATTGCAAAGTCGAACGCTGCCGAACTACGCCAGCACGCGTCTCTGTCGAGGCTGAATCGGTGGACTTCTTCCGGCTTCGTCGTATCAGGAAGGAGTTGTTCCACCACAACTTGAGGCTTGTCTGACAAAACTGGTGTGTTTTTGTTCATCGCTGCAATCCGTTGAGATTTACGAGGCTGCTGTATTGCAACATCAGCGTTCTTCGCAGCTTTTTTTCGTTTCCCTCCACTTGTTTTCCTTGTGGGGTGAAGTCTCTTATACCGTCTGATTTCACGCTTGAAGTCGGCGATCAAGTACTTCGAGAATGTAGCGTCTGTCCACAAGTGCAAGTTCGTCATAAGATACAAGTGTATCGGGGTTTGGTCCACAACCAGCGCCGTTCCTGAGCACACATGTTCCGAGGAAACTCTAACAACTGACTTCCACAAATTCAATTGAACATCAGGATCCACAGTGCATAAGTCCTTCGCGCTCAACGCGACATCCTCTGCCGTAGACAATGGAACCACCACCAGCACGTGAACGGTCTTCTTCGTCGGAGCACCTTCAAATACGTCCCCAATATCGTCTGCTGGGTCCACTTCCACGTTCATCAATGTCTTCACTTGCTCAGGAATAACCCCGCTTCGCATAGAGATCACGTCAGGATCCTTCGATGAGAGCCACGCCCCGTTCTTTTTCGCCAGGTAGAGCTGCAGCTTGTTTGCCGCGAAGTCAAACTTCTGGTCCTCAGCAATCATCTTCTTCAAGTCTCCCACCAACTGAACAGCGTCGATATCCACCTCGAACGCGCTTCCCGCCACCCCAACGATCGCACAAAAGAGCTTCACCATCTTCTCTCGAGCCGGCAGATTCTGGAATGCGGAAGAAGGGAGGGGGTTAATGACGAGGATTTATGGTCGGGAATGATTGATGTTTTCGAGACAGCAGATCTGTGACGACCTGTTGAATTCATTACCGGAACTACACGCAGCACTCCGCAGTAACCCGTCCAGGAACTAGCAGCTCTGGAGACGTACGTCGAGTGTCAATGCAAGAATCAGCACGTTCGAGTTGGTGGGGATGCCACCGAATGACGGCGGTGCGGACAGGGCGGAAGTGCATAATGCCGTCGCGGCGTCAACCAAGTTGAAGTGCCATATGAACGAGGTACTCAATGTGCTTGTGAGTCAGAAGACGAGTTACTATGAGGCGACGATGCAGGCGTTGAGGGGTAAGCGATTCGAAGGAGGAGAAGTATTGTATCGAGAACGGTGTCGTCTGGTACCCAATGGAGTCAAGGGTACCGGGACTCAAGCGCTTCTTGGCGTACAGATGGCCGCGTTCCGTCCGAGTTGGCAGCTCCGTTTGGCTCCGAGTCATCTCTGTCACCCGGAACATCCGAGTTCACAGAGACTGTGCTTTGCGTCGTTAACGCATTCTAAAATAATAGTAGGGAGAATCTCTGTTCGTACTTAAGCGGGACAATGGCGTGTCAGACTTAACCAATGACGAGACAGTGCGGAAACTTCCTTTTGCTTGTAATCCCAGTGTTGGTATTTGCGGTGCTTGGACATGTGGAGGAAACCTCCTTCGCACCAGACACTACTTAGCGGTGTTGTCGCTGTTCTCAACGTTCAGGAAGCTTCAAACCTACTCTCGCTGGTAAATTACGGGAAGGAAAAAAACTGCCGGTGTTCTGTTCCAGTGTATACTATTAATACTAGCATAAATAATGAACAAGACTCGGCACAGCACCGCGGTCCGCGGGTAAGAGCAACGCGCTAAGCTTGCTCAACATTTGGAGTGTGAAATACCTTGCTGCAAACGATCGGGTAGGAGTTTAGTCAAAAGGGAGATTTAAACTCGGACGGATCGGCTGCGCAGGGACGAGTCCGTCGTGATGAATTGACCAACCACTGCAATCGGAGTAACGCGCGTCATTCACGCTGGGCTCCAGCTCAGCTTGAAGGTCCACGTCTGGAAGGTCCCCGTCGACGATCGCGAAAGTTCATCGACAGATGTAAGTTCTGCAACGGAGACTATGCTGGTCGTCCCCGGCGAAGACGTCGGCATGGAAATCGAGACCTAGTTGCTGGGCATTTTTACCATGAACTCGCATATATCGGATACACCTTTATTTGGCCGTTGGATGCCATTCAGACGAAAAAAAAAACATAGTAGACCAGAGTAGAAGTTAAACACATCTATAAATCATTCTTAATACATGTATCCCTTGACAACAGAGAAGGATTCAACATGAAAGGCAGCCACACGGACAGTTTTTTCGACGAATTTTTTTTTTTGGTCTGTGTCTATGTAATCGTTGCTTGGTAGTCTACTTTTTCTTCTCGGTTGTCCCTGCTGCCGACGGCTGTGCCCAATATGCAAAATAAACAACAGCCGCAGGATCCTGTCACGATTGCTTCGACGCTCTTTGTCTGCCGCTCACAGTCTCCTCCTTGCTCTGTTCTCCCCACTATTGAAAGTATCTATGCGGTCTTCTCATCCGCAGGCGCTTCACCGTCCGCGAGCTTGATGTATCGCGGCACACCGTATCCTCCTTCGGCATTAGGCCAGACCCACTTCTCCCATCCATCGCGGAGACGGATCTTCTCGTTCTGCTCGTCCAGCTCGACTGTTTCCGAGTTTTTCATGGCCTCCAGTAGGGACTCGTAGTCCTGGTGAACGGAGTACACCGCCTGGAAGCTGCCCACGAAGGCCAAAGGGACGTATCCGTCCACATCCATGTGCTGACGCAGGAAAATATCACGCACCAAATTGTCCGACGTGAAGTAGAATTCACTAAAACGGTTGCAAAGGTGGACCATTGTCGAAAACATGTCACGTCAGTCACCACTTACTATACACCGATAATGTATCAATTATCATCACGTACATTTGGTTCTTTGCCCACTGGGCTGTCACCTTGACGTCGGGTGTGGGCACATACACGCCATTAACGTACGTGCCATTGCTGTCTCCCTGTGGACGACGTCCTCCGATGCGTCCGCCGCTGCGGGGGCCACGACGTCCCTGTTGCTGTCCTCCACGCGTCCGTACGTCCGATGAGGAAGTCCCAGCGTCCACCTGGGTATTGTCGCCCTCGGGAGCCACCACATTGTCTTCGCCTTCCATCGGGAACTGCGACCAGTTGAGTTTGCCCTTGCGCTTGGGTTTGGAGGTACGCGAAGTGGGCGCACTCTGTGGCTTGTCGCTCACCTCTTCGGCCTCCACCAGGCGGTACTTGACGGCACCTTCGGGGGCCTCTGCATCCGTCGCGTTCATTCCCATTCGACTACCCTTGCTTGACTGGTTCAGTAGGCGGAATGAGACCGGAGCTCTTCGCTGCCAGTCAAATGTTGTGTAGACGTGGTGTGGACACCAGCCTGGCAAAGTACATGAAAAGATTTATGCTGGAAGGAAGGTTATGAATCGAAACATTTTGTTTAAAAATAATTTTCATCATATTATATACTATATTATTTAAATTAATACTAATGCCGTGCTGCGCCCGGGAAGCTCTGGATATTTGGATACTCAAAATTTTAATATTATAATATTTGTAATAGGAAGAAACTGAAGCGCGAATAAGGATGGGCCCCCACTTCGCCATCGACACTTGGACTTATTTTCTTTTCTTAGTTGAGAGGAGCAATCCCAACCCAACGAAATTGCCGCTGAGGTCCAAAACCCAGAGACAAACCAAACGGATCAGGAGCGTTCGCAGTCGTATAAGAAGAGGGCAAGAGCCTTTAAGAAGGCCAAGACCGACTAAACCTTCTTGTCGACAACCTAGGGTAAGCAAATCGATTCGGACAATCGTATGGCCAGCATTATATACCAGCTTAAATAAAATGTCGTAACCCTCCCACATCATGGCTATATAAATGCTAGATAGACATCTCACTAATTTGCTATACAATACAACCCCTTACGACTTCTGCCTCACACCTTAGCAAGGCACAGTAGCCTTCTACTTACGAGAATCCAGCTCGGAGCTCAAGTCCGGAAGCAGCATGGAAGCTGTACGGGATGAGCTGAGTCTGGTGGTCACTTGCACTGCAGAGATGAGTACTGTGTTTGGTTGGACTGAGTCACGGGTAATCGTCACGCTACTGAGATCGTCAATCGATGGAACGCGGTCGTACCCCCAGACACCCAGTTTGGATGCCAAACGGGTGGCTGCAGCAGATTCCTGCGGAAGGCAGTGGTAGGCTTAGTTCAAGGAGGTTTTGGTGCTCATGCTTTCCTCCAGAGTCACAGCAACTCAAATACACTCACTTTCCAATTTGCTTCGTGACGCCTACATCGATCTACATGGCGTCTACGACTACGCTGAACCTAAAAGTGCCGAGGAGCTCTACGTGCATCAACTCGACGAAGCTCTTAGGTTATTGAGCCCAAGCCTTTTGGGGCGATTCAAGTATGTCGACTGGAGGAGGCGCGAATGCCGGTGGAGGAGACACTTCAATGGGACCTCAATATGGCAGCACGAAGCCACCGAAGTACGATGAAGAAGGAGGCTTCGATCTGTACAAAGCCATGCTGGAGTCATTTCTGACGCAACGAGGATGCTGGGGCATCGTGGACGGCACCGACGTGCTAGGTGCAAATGCTACGGCGGCGGAGACTGCTCGCCGAGCCGAGAAGAACGCTCTTGCTCGAGACGCACTGCTTCGTGGTGTGCTGATCAAAGATGCAGCCAAAATTTGTACGATGACGGACGCTCGTCAGATGTGGCTTGCTTTCGAACTGGAGAAGACGAAGCGCAACTACTCGAATTCGCTATTCGTGCGTAAGAAGTTCTACTCCTACGAGTACAAAGCTGGTATGGACTTGGATAAATACTTAGATGACATGGAGGCCATGAGACGGCAGCTGCGGAACATGAATGAGACGATTTCGGACAATGAGATGGTGAAAGTAGTCCTTCAGGGTGTGGCGCATGAATATCGCGGTATTGTTCGTATGTTCGACAAAGAAGTGCGCGACGGGAACGCTCCGCAACTCTCGGACGTTCTGAACACAATTCGAAGTGAAGCCGAGCTCGACAAGCAGAAAACCACCTCGACGAAGAAGACTGCGAAGTCGTCAGACTCCGCAAAGATATTGCAAATACAGCAGCAACAATTTCGTGGCAACTCCGGCAAACGGAAGTGGAAGCCAAGACCCTCCAACAGAAAGCGGTTCAAAGGTAACGATGGGCAATATGTTGAGATGAGAACGTGTCATTTTTGCCACAGGACAGGTCACTTGAAGAGGAATTGCCACGAGTATCTCGCAAAGCAGCAGAAGTCAGAAGAGAATTCGGTGAGCGGGAAGAACAGCAACAAGAAGAAACTCTCGTCGATGTCTTTGGTACGATGGAGTGGGGCAGGTCGCGAAGACACGCCTTCTATTCACATGGTTGTTTCGGGTGACATTGCTGCTCGTTGTGATGAATGGATGATTGATACAGGTGCAGGTGTCCACGTGTGTACGGATTGGACAGCTTTCTCGAGTATGAGAGAAGACTCGATGACTTTTGTGGGTTGGAAAGGTGATGCTAGCAGCAGTGAAGCCGTGGGTCAAGTCAAAATTGTGGCCACGAACGCTATTTCTGGTAGTGAAGTGATCCTCGAACTTGAGGACACACGCTACACAAGTACCGGTCGAACTAATCTACTCAGCCTCGAGCTTTTAGAGCGGTGTGGGTGGATTCCATCTTATTCCGAAGTTACACGACCAGAAGACCGAGCAATGTATCTTGATCATGGCGATGTACGTCTGGTACTACCCAAACGCAATGGGCATTACTGGCTGACTACGAGACGTGACGCGAGTGACATGAACTTGTGTAGTATTCAGATGTCTCGACGCCAATCCTCATTGCTGCGCTGGCACATGAAATTCGCACACCTCAATGCACAGGCACTCAAGAAGTTGGTGATGCAAGAGATGGCCGATGGCATTCAGTCACTGAAGCTAGATGACTTCAAGGAGCCCCTCGATTGTATTGCTTGCACGGCAGCAAAGCAGAGGAGAATGTCGTACAAGCGGCACAACAAACGCAGCAAAACGTGCTTCGATCGAATAATGTCTGACGTTTGCAGCATTGGTGTTAAGACAACAGGTGGCAGCAAGTACTTTCAACTGATAGAAGACGAAGCTTCCAGGTACAAGTGGTGTTTCCTGCTGAAACACAAAGACGAAGCCACGGTCAATGTGATAAATTGGATTCGGCGATACGAGAAAGAGCACACGATCAACAAGTTTTGGTCAGACGGAGGCGGTGAATTCATCAACAACAAGCTGGAGGCATTTCTAGATGAACACTTGATTGAGTACAAGAACACCGACCTGTACACACCGGAGGAGAACAGCCTAGTGGAGAAGTTGAATAGCCACTTGATGAATAAAGTGCGCGCGGTTCGTGAAGCAGCAGGACTTCCGATGTCACTTTGGGGCGAAATTCTCATGTACGTAGTGGAAGTGGACAACATGAGCCCGACAAAGGCTCTCGCAGGAATGACACCGTATCAGAAACTCACAGGAATCAAGCCGGACGTTAGCAGCTTGCATGTATGTGGTTGTGTCGCTTTCGTCCACGTCCCGAAGAAGAAACGAGCGAATAAGCTGAGTCCGAAGGCAGTTCCTACACTATTTCTCGGCTATGCCGAACGCTCGCTCGGTTATCGTCTTCTGGACCTCCGCACTGGTGATTTAATTGAGCGACGTGATGTTTCCTTCCGTGAGGATATCACCGTGGACGACCAATACGTTCGAAGTTTACTTGCTCGTCGGTATCATGGAGAAAGATCTGCTCTGCCAGACAACATACCATTTGTGCGACTACCTGTTAACGCAGTTCTGGATTCTGTTCACATACCAGATCATTTATCTGACGGGGAGGATAGTTCTGAGGATGCATTCCCGGTTTCGAGTGATACTGCAGTTAAGAAACGACGACGTGCAGACTCTGATGACAGCGGCAGTGATAATTCTGGTGATGTTCCGTTCAGTGGGGGTTTGAACGATGAAGTGGTTGGTGGTGCTGATGCAGAGGCTAATGGATCTGGAGTAAGTTCTTCGGCAAGTAGCGGCGATGAATCAATTGATAATAATTCTGGTGCCAATTTCTCGCCAGACTCTCCGGATGAAAGTGAAAGCAATTCTGGAAGAACACTATCGCCGTCATCATCACCTCCTGCTACTACGTCGGATAGAACGGGTACAGCACCAGCTCATCCTACCCGCACAACAACTTCAGTACAACCGACATGGCGGTCAACTCGTCAACGCAGACCTAACTCGCGCTATGACCCATCAACCTACGTCATGACGTGAAGTTTAATGCAGTGCATGCTCATAGGCATTGTGAACGAGTTGCTGAACCCGACCACAGTGAGGCAGGTTCTTGCATCAGAGCACGCGACGCAATGGCGTGATGCCATGAATGTCGAGTACAACAGTTTGATGAAGAACACAACTTGGGAATTAGTTCCTCGGCCAAAATCGTCAAAGGGCAAAAGAGTGAATATTCTCACGTCACTTTGGGTTCTTGTCGTCAAACGAAACGAGAAAGGTGTAATTGAGCGATTCAAGGCGCGACTAGCAATCCGTGGTTTTCTTCAGAAATATGGCATCGATCACCTGGCCACGTATTCGCCAGTAGTGAGGATTGAGTCGGTCCGATTGGTGATGATTTTAGCGCTCTTGCTCGGACTTGATTGCCGGCACGTCGATTTTGTAACAGCTTTTCTTAATGGTGAGCTAGTGGATGTCGACATTTACAATAGCAGCCTGAAGGCTACCATGATGGAACTGATCGAGTTTGTCGATTGTTGAAAGGGCTTTATGGTCTGAAGCAAGCATCCAGGATTTGGAACGACACGCTGCACGCGTATTTGGTAGCGATCAAATTTCAACAATGTACTTTTGATTCTGGTGTCTACTATCGTAATGGATCTCAAGGAGCAATTTTTCTCACTGTGTACGTTGACGACATAGTGCTTGCTGCCAAGCCACACGACATTGAAATTGTTGTTCGTGAACTGAGTATTAAGTTCGAACTGAAGGACACTTGCTTGGTATGGAAGTCAATTTTGAACCAGGCGTGATGTTGTGTCTATCTCAAACTGCTTACGTGGAGAAGATGGCGTCCAAGTTTGGCATGGAAAATGCAAGAACTGTTCGATCTCCCCAGATGCACAATGAGAGGATGCCCGCAATTGAGAGCGACAAGACCAAAATCAACGACAAATCCCTGCCATACAGAGAGATAATCGGCTCGCTTTAGTACCTGGTGGCCTGTACAAGACCAGATATGGCCAACGTTGTTCGTTGTTTGGGAAAGTACAATGGTGCTTTCACTCGTGAAAATTATGCGATGGCAAAGCGTGCAATTCGGTACCTAGTTGGAACCAAGAACCTCGGTTTGGTATATCGAGTGAACAAAGTTTCGCCTGTACTAAATGTATTTTCTGATGCGGATCATGCGATGTGTAAGGACACAAGTCGCTCAACTACGGGTTTCGTGCTGCAACTGAGCGGGTGCACTTGGATGTGGAAAAGTAAGCAGCAGGGACGTGTTACGACAAACACGTGCGCATCGGAGCTGGTCGCAGCTTCCGATTGCGTGGATAATCTGGTGTGGGCGCGGAAACTCTTGGCAGAGCTGAAAATCAAGCAAGAGGTGTCCACTGTCTTCTGTGACAAGCAGAGCACCATTCAAGTATTGCGAACAGAGGCAACTCAAAAAGGGTGCAGCGATTTGCCAAGGAGGCAAGGATGATCGCAGAGTTCGTCGATGATGGTGCAGTGATTGTGGAATATGTGCCGACTACTGAAAATGTGGCGGACATATTCACTAAAGCTCTGGGACCTCAGCGTTTCGAATATCTCCGAGAGAAGCTCAGTATGGAGCACGTACCTAAAGCATGGAATGCTCGCATGGAGCTGGGGAATATTGATTAAGTGGGAGTAGTTCGTCTACAACCATTGGTTTGTTCGTCTACAACGGAGAGGTCTGGCAGTGATATGCTGTTACTGCAGCAGGAGAACTGCAATTGGTTATGGAGATTTCTCCAGGAGAAACGTGTATGATTTGCATGGGCAATGCTTTTCGACATCTATTGTGGTGATACTTTCTGGTGACAACCTCTTGTGAGCAAGCACGGGTAACATGAAGGTGGTAATCCTTGTGGATTGTGTATGGTGCAAGTTTGTTAGGGTGTTTGTCGTCATGGAGTGATCGCGGTAACACAATGGGAAGAGCAAGGAGTGTCTGCAAGCTTTTCGTGGAGACCAACAATTTGTATTGATTATATATATTGATTGACGTGCATTTGATGCGCGTGTATATGTGCTGCAGTGCTTCGTGAAGTGGGAGGGGTGCTAATTATTTTCTGTTGCTCAGATACTGAATGACCTGTTGGTATTAAACTTGTAGGAAAAACTGTTGCTCACTCTGAATTGCTGTTGCACATCTATGGAAAGCTGTTGCTCTAAGAGAGCAACACATCTTCAGTGCTGAAAGATAGCAACAGGAAAGTAGTAGTGAATGTATGACAAACTGTTTGTAAAAGCAATGTATAGGAATGGCTTCAATCTACATAGCAGCAGTGTGGCTTCTTCTCACTGTGTTCCAAGCGCATAAGCTCGACGAACTGCGTGAGCTAGCTCTTCAACTTGGTATTCTAGCGAGTCGCCATGAATGAATGTTACGCTCCAGATATACACCCCCTCTGTTTCTGAAAGTCGACATCCAGCGACTTGGCCGACCCGATGCTCCTTGAAGGTCTTATTCTCATCAGAAACGTCAAACTCTTGGACTACTGGCCACTTTAAAGGCCTGCCAGGATTGGTTTTAAACAACTCGATGAGCCGGTCAACGTCGTACATGTCTGATTCACGTTGTAAAGCACCAACGAGTGCGCGTGGTCGACCAGGAAGACCGCGCATCGGAACACTTGCCATGGCGAGGCCGATCTTTAATTTCTCTAGCAAATGTAGAGACGCAATTGTATGTGCACAGACCCAGCCAGTGTGCATGTAGCTTTTACAGGTGCAACGAAGAGCATTTCGAACAGCCTGGATCTGTCATATAAAATCAAAAGTTAGTATTAATGTAGAATCTGCTCAATAAGATTTTGCATATCTCACGTCCTCGCAGCTCCATTTTGCACGAAGTATCAAGGGGTTCATTTTGTCGATCTGTTGGTCATCTACAATCACCTGTTGTAAAGAGAGGAAGGTCACTTCGGCTTCAGTAATAGACTCCACTTGGCCTAGATTTCCAGATAAAGATTGTTTGAACCTTTTTTCATACAAGACGAACAAGTTAGCAATTTAACATAGCATGAAAAACTAAAACTTACACTTTGGTGCGCTCTGCCGTTACTTTAACTGCAGCTAGATTGCTTGTAGAGACTGGTAACACCATTGTGTTCTCACTGTTAAAAAAGATTCTGGTCCGGCCTCTGGATTTTGTCCTGGTGATGCGATGATTGCTGGGGAGGATCAACTTGTCTTTAGCTTTCATGACTGCTGCACCGTTAAGAGGTCCTACGAGAAATAAAAGTTTAGTTTAACTGAGAATAAAACTACTGGATGATACACACAAACCTTCTGCAAAGTGACGATGTTGATCAACTGCAAGATTAGTCGAGTCGTACAGAAGAACTCTCGGCAGAACTGAGTTCAACACGGTTATAGTCGGAGCTTTTTTGTAGTCAGTAACTATCACTTTAATAACGCGATGATGACTTTCAATGGGCTGTTGCGTTGGCAGGAATCCTGGTATTGATGAACTATTGACACTCCAGCGCTCCCAGCGTGGTGTCAAATAGACATTTTGGAACCATGAAGCTAATTCATACTCACCATCACCTTTCCAAGAGCTTATGACTCGTTGAGAAAGCGCTCGAAATTGTTTTAGCGAATGGGAGATGTGAAGTAGACGAATGTGAGGCATTGCGACGTCTTTAATGTATCCCTTTCTTTTCTCTAGTCTGGTTTGCTTGCGACATTGACGGAGCAAGTGCTCGTAACACGTGAGAATCTCCACATTGGGCCACACGATTTCCAGTGCAGACGCAATCGCGTCCGAATGATCGATACTTGCACTGCGAATGTCAACGTCCACATCGAAAAACATTTTTGTGTACTTTACCAAAGCACAAAACATTCGCTCGTATGCTTGAGTACTCTCAGTGCGGACGAACATGTAAAGCCAAGGACGAAAGCGTTGAACGTAGCTAGGGCCCGTGGTTTCAATAGAAATGCCCCCACAATCTACCAGCGTCCACCCACCGAAATGGATTCGGTACGTTCCATCCGTCGATAGGACAACGGTACCATCTTGGTCCCGTACAGCGCGACGAATATTTTGAAACAGGGCTCTAGATGTCACCACCATTCCAACACAAGGCATGGATATGCCATTAACCACGACGGAATGCTCAAATTCATCAAGGACAATCATCGCGTTCATTTCTGCAGCGTTGTTTTCATCGACACGAAAAAATTCTTCACGGTTCTGGCATAGTCTGCTGCAAGTCCAGCTTCTCATAGTGACAAATTTGCTAATTTCCCACCCCTCTCCTGCTTGCTTCTTGAGATGTGCCTTTCGATTCTCCATCTTTTTTGTCTCAGGTATCAACGCTAGCATGCTAGGGTCTCGTAGGTATTTGAACATCATCATGTTCCGAACCCGACCAGCAGACATCCCAAGCTTAAGAAGTGAGTCGATTTCCGGCTTCATAACAGGCGATATGCCTCTGGTCTTCAAGTTTACTATGGCCCCGGTATGTAGACCTTTCTGGAGAACCTGGAAACGGGTTTCTAGGTCACCCGCCTGGTGAGCAATGAGTTTAATACTGTGTGTGCAGTCTTGGTGGGATCGACACAGGTACTCCTTACCAACACGAAATGTCGAAATATATCTGGTTTTGTATGTGTATACAAACTCGTTTAAGCGATGGAGATTTTTTTCTGCCTCTTCTTCCGTGTCGAAGTATCCGATGCTGGTGTAAGTAGATTCTTCAGCTAGCCCAACAATATCTGCACACACATTGCTTTCGTGATCACTGTCACTTCCGTAGTCTAGAGAAGAGTCGGAATTGTGTCCGTCACCACTGATGTTATGTTCAACACGAACCGTTATATCAGCTCCAACGTTTTTGGTAGAGTACACACAATGTTCGTCGATATTGATGTCTTCTTCAATTGAGCCCCTAGCACTGTGCATATCTACATCAGACGAACGGTTTGTGCACTGCGTCTCTAAGCGATATCCATCAGATTCACGACGTGTTACTACGGTAGACGGGTCTGTGGTGGGCTGTGGCGTTTCGTTTCGCGCACCGGTAGTAGTTGGAGTGCTGTGGTCGGCAGGTCGTGTGGCACTATGCATGTCTTCGTCGTCTGGTGTGAACGTGGTTAGTAGGTCCTCACTCCTTCCAATGTCATCGTACTCGAGAACGTCGGTCAGCTCACTGTCGTAACCCGACGAGCTGTCGGCAGCCTCCATGCTGAGTTGGTTCCTGAAATCTGCTGTGTTGAGGAGTAGATGGCGTTTTGAAACTGACTTGATTCAGACAAGTGACACTGAAAATAAATAACACACCATCAGCACTGAAGTTATGTTGCTCCTGCGGACAACAGCCATTCATACTCTTCCAACAGACGTTCAGAGTGACTAACAGTTATTCATACAAATTCGGTGCCAACAGGTCATTCAGTATTTAGACAACAGATATTAAGATTATTTCAAGTGGGAGTACGAGAATCCAGCTCGGAGCTCAAGCCCGGAAGCAGCAT